AGGCTGGAAGTGGAACAGAGAGACAGGGAATGATTTTTGCATCACATTTTTCTTTTTCACTGAAAAAACCTGTAAAAATCATGATGCTGTGACATTTGTTGGGGTCTGTACCAAACAAACATGTTTTTTTACATCTTAAAAATCAGATTTATCAACAGATAAAATACAAAAATGAACTCTTATTTTATTTTATGAAGATAGCACTTTTCAAACTAATTAAATAAAAGTGCTTTACAAGCGATCGACAAAACAGACAAAAATGATTTAGAGACCAATGCATGCCAAAACAACATAAAGACAAGCCTAATTAAATAGAGAGTAAGACTATTCAAAAATAAAAGCTGAGTAGTAATAAAAATAATAATAATCACTAATATAAATATAGCTATAAAAGCAATAGAAAATAAAATTATTAAGTATGACTTGATTATAATAAAACCTTATGTATAAAGAAAAGAATCTCACAGCACATACAAAGCATGTAGAGCTTCCTAAAGCTGTATTCGCAATTATGTATGACTTTATTTTTTTTAGCATTTTGTCTACCTCATGTTAATAAGTTACATTAAGTGAACTATTCCAAGATGGTTTTGGCTGCACCATTTCAGCAATTAAACAAACAGTTTTATCCATATCCTCCTGTAATTTAACATCTCTTATTTGGTCTGTGGTAACTTGTGGATCTTGATTGCATCTCTAATACAGCTCAGCAGGTTTGCACTTTGCATGTCCACACAGCATGAGTTTGTAATTATGTTATTTGCAATTCTGTTTTTCTGTGTGTGTTCACCTGTGAGCTACCTGCTGAGCTCAGTAAATCATTTTTCAGCCTTCCCTCAACACATGTATGTCTGTGTTCGATGTTCACACTGTAACTGTCTGACCGTCCCCTCCTCTCCGACTCACTGTTACCATCTGTCCTGCAGGACAAGGACCTGGAAGTGTGCGCGGTCAACCTGAAGCTGGACCAGCTGGAGGCTGAGCTGCAGGACCTCAACTCCCAGGAATCCAAGGATGAGGCATCACTGGCCAAGGTCTTCTTATATTTCTTTCTCTGTGATTCTTCTTTATGTTTAATTGTGTTTTTTTGCTTGGTTTTGCGTTTTTGCTCTGAAGGTCTTCATGCTGAGACTTTTGTACTGTATTCAGGTGAGAAAGCAGCTACGCGACATGGAGGCCAAGGTGAAGGACCAGGAAGAGGAGCTAGATGAGCAGGCTGGCACCATTCAGATGTTGGAGCAGGTACAGACAAAGCACAGTGCTCCATCACAGGAATCAACACAATCTCAAAGCCGCATTTCTTTATTTTTTTAGTCACTGGGGGGCATTTGAACACAAAAATAAGCTGACCGCCAAAGGAGTATTATTTATAGTTTATTGATCAATAAAAACACTGAATTATTTTGCTGTTACAATAAAACATCAATACTTAATAGGCCACAAAATTTAAAATAACTAGTAAGAGTTTCAGATTTAATTTAAAATTAGCAATTATCTAAGCTTAAAGCTATTATTTCATATCACAAATCTGAAATCTAAACTCTGCTGTCATTTAGTCTGCACATGTAGGAGATTGGTGATCTCCTATATCTCTCAGTCCCTTGTCGGACGACCTGTGAGCTCCTCCCTGAGGGGGGGGGGGTAGCCAGTCACTGAAGTTGGATTTGAAGTTGGCAGCTTTCTGGTGAAGCCCAGACACAGTTGCATGTGTGTCTCTGCCAGAGTACACAGTACCTCCCTTTTTGCATACTTTCCAGCCTTTTAGCCTGGTCTAGTCAGGGAACTGTGTTAGACGGGGACTGCATACTCCATGTAGCCAGTGTAGATGGAAACCAGTTCAGGTTCTCCAACACAGAATTTCTTCAGGCGACACAGCGCAAAACCCCTCCTGTTGGCTGAGGTCAGCCTGTGGTCCACCTTTGCAAGTTATCACTTTAAAAAGCTATTGTGGCTAAAAAGTAAGCAAGTAGTTACCTTTATACACATCCAGACAACATTAGCATTGATTTGGAGTGGTGTTTGTGTCCACCTGATGAATGTGAGTTCAATATTCAGTAACTCTGAGCTACGGCAACTCTCTCATGAGCTGCTAAATGCTCCGCTACGTTCATCTCTAACTGTCTGTCTGTTGTTTGCTGCTGCAGGTAGTGAGTTTATCAGCCATTTAAATGTTTTTTAAAACCAAAGCAATGAGCTAAAAGAGGCTAGAGGGAACTGCAAAACTTCTCGTCCTTGTGTCAGATTTTAACTTAACTCTGTCCACCCAACTCCCTATGGCCTCTATTTAATACCATACTGACACACAGTGTTCTCGGTGCAGAATTTTCACACACAGACACTAACAAAATGTCCTGTTAGAGCTGGGATTGCAGCTATTACACCACTGTGCTGGATGTGATAGGTGTGTGTTATGAATATTTAGTTTGTACGTGTTTACTTGAGTTTGATTTAGTATTATTGCCCTTCCAAGCTCTTTCCAAACAAAAAAACAAAACAATATTACAGCCCCGTGTTAGCTGACATAGACTTTGTTGATACAAGATGGAGGAATGTCTCCTTTAAAAATGACTAATATTACACTGATACCATAAGCTCATACACTAGGAAGAAGGCTACTATAGGCTTAGGCAGTTATAATATGATATAGTGGGATACTACTACTGCTGCTGTTACTGTATACTACTAATTGTACTTATTTTCATTTGATAGGCACAAACTCAGTTTACATAGAACATTTCTTTACAATTATCCATTTATGTCCACAGCTGATTTCTAATGCCCTTCAACACATACACATGCCTAGACTACTGTTTGAAATTATTTGGGGAAATGCACTCTGTTATCTTTCTGAGAGTTAGATGAGCTGATTGATATCATTCTCATATTAGCAGAGCTGATGTTAGGATATAGGTAGCCTAGCTTAGCATAATCCTCTCACTTGTTGCAGGAATGTGTATACTGTTGTAAAGCTAACTGATAATATTAATACTACTTTCTAACTTCATGCTGTCTGCTTTGTGAGATATTTATAAAAGTGTCAAAAAAATGACTACCTATTCTTCTTCCACTATGAGCAGAGGTCAGAGTTTACAGGCAGTTCAGAGTTCTGTGCACATGAATAATATATGGAAATTAACTCTGCAAGCAACGATGAACGGAACGTTGCCGCCCGCACATGTCCAAGCGTGCTGTGTTTCTGTCACATCTCAGCATCATGTGTAGACCTCATTGTCAAAATTTCACATAAATTATATTGCTGTGAAAGACTATCAGTGTGACTGAATATTGGCATGTAGATGTGTTCAGGGCGAGACTTTTGTCAGTGATAATAATAATAACAATGTGAAGTTTGGTGGAGATTGGACAAGGTACACCTCTTTCATGGCGAAACATTGAAATGAATAGCCAAGCCACGTACACGCTGTTCCGTGCACTGTCACAAATAGCTGTGATGGTCTTTAGACTGCACTGATCAATTTTGAGTCGATCTGCGCACTAAATTCAGAATGGCCTGTTGGGTTTGGGGTATGGGTCTATGGGTCCCAAGAGGCTTTTTTGTTCGTCTTGTCATGATCCATGTTTTCATGTATATAGGTGTTGCAGTTTAGAGGGACGCTGTTGGGCCACGTTACACAAGTTTTTATACATGTTGCGGCTGTCAAAAAAGCTGAAAAATATTAATAATTCCTTTGTATTTTAATAGCTTGGGCCCTAATAAGGTTTAAAAATCAAAGTGTTTCAGCCCAGATGAGAGCAGAGTGTACAATGTGTGTTTCTTTCAGGCCAAACTGCGTCTGGAGATGGAGATGGAGCGTTTGCGTCAGACCCATTCCAAGGAGATCGAGAGCAAAGATGACGAGGTGGAGGAGATCAGACAGTCCTGCAGTAAGAAGGTACAGAGGTTCAACACATGTACCCGCACACATTATAATACTGCTGTTAAAGTCTACTTGCAGAAAATAGAATACTGTAATAAATAAAATGCTGTATACAGTATAAAGTGACTTTACAAGAGGTCTCTGTTCAGCACCACAACACATAACAAAAGAGCAGCAGTCAGCCTGCTGCTCCACTCAGATGTCTTCTGCTTGAATTTGTACTTTTCCTGAGTTTTAACAGCTCACAACAGGTCCAGATCAGTGCATATTGACTAAATCACATTTGGCTCATTTAAGGGCAACTCACAGAAAACTAATTAAAGCTGCAAAGACCGAGATATCCACACTTTTAGTTCCAAGTATGGGTCAAGCTCCAAAAACCTTACAGTTATATATTAATTCTAGTTTTGAAAGCGACCATCATTGCTTTAACGTCCTCGTCAGCTCTATTTCAGACCAATTTTGAGGCCCTTATGGTTATCATCAAGTAGTCACTGGAGCCTATAATCCCAACATCTGAGGTACCTTTATTTGAAATACAGTAGGTTTATTTTAGACACAGGCAATTATTTCTCTAATCTAATAACGATAATAATATCTAATAACCTCTGTTTTGTAAATGATTATATTTCAGTGATTGACTTCCATCTTTACCTGTTGTCTTGGTAAATTCAGCATAACTTACATTTCCACAGCACCAATTCCATCAATCTAACAAGGGAGTTAGGTCACACTGACTGCTCTGCTGCTCTTGCTTTCTACTCTCTTACAGAAATCCAGTTTTTATTCACATATAACATACAGTGCTTTCCACCAACACCTCTGCGCAGATACTTCACATTAAAAGCCTTCCGGGCAGCTTAAATGACAGGACCTTTTCCTCTAGGCCTTTAATTTGAAACATACAGGAAAATGAACTGACTATAGCTCAACCCCGATTGCAAAAAACAAAACAAAAGAGAAGGATTGGAAATAATTAGTGACTTAAAACAGAAGTTGTGTTAAAATGAGAAACGCAGAGTGGTTTAAATGACACGAGGTATGTCGATTAATGTTGTGCTGAATTTACAGTGAGCCATTATAGTGCAAATAACTCAACCCCTGCATTTATTAGCGACCAATCTTTATTTGTTTGTGCTTTTATTTAAGAATGTATGGTATTTGTGGTAGGTTTAGTAACTAACTAGTATACTTACTGTAGTATTGTTTCTCATAAAAAATGTATCCATCTTTTAATTCATTTGACCTTTTCTTATTTTTTAATATATCAGCATAATGGCTCGTATTGGAGGCGTCACTGCCACATGATATCAGTATGGTGGAGGAGTGTTTGTGTGGGTGGCAGAGCGAGTGAGTGTGTGCTTTGCTGTTGTAATATGGGTGCATCTTTAGCGTTGTTGCTATTAACTGCTGTTTTTTTATATTTGTTTTGCTCTACAAGCGCTGACCGCCCCATCAGTGGCCTCCTCATTAGCCCACGCATAATTAGCTTTTTTACACTTACACAAGCTGGGAGCACTGTGTCTGCACTGTGACATTTCCATAGTGATGAATTATATGATGATAGATTCTGCTGATACATAACTGAAGGAAACAGCCTTATATACACTGCACAATCAGCCCTTCTAGAAACAAGCCAGATATTCTTTAATATAATCACATTTTCTTGTATTAAGCCAAAAAATCTGCAAATGCGATAAGACAATTTTGCTTGGCTAGAATTCTTAAAACTAGCATAAGAATATAGCCACTGAAAGACTGTAATGGGCCTTAAAACTAGAAACAAATGCCAAACATTTAAGCATGTTTGCTTATTACAAGTAATGATAAATCAGTTATTTAAGATAGACTTTCTTAAAATAAGTATTTTGGTCACTTTATTGAACTCAATTTAAGAATTTGTATTTTCATTTATGAGAACCTTAACAAGAACTTTGCTCATTTGTATGCATCCAAAGTATTTGAAAATACAAAGTTACTTGTAGACTGGACAGTGTTAGAATTGATTGAGGATGCTGAATGTCAGTCGAATGCAGCAAGATGGTTCCACAAGCTACTGACTGCGTTGCCTTGGAAATTGTCATAGATCATTTTATTAAATAAGCTTCATATCTGCCTGGGAACCAGAATCTTGCAGAATTCATGAATATTTGAATTGGCTCTGGCAGATGAGCCCGGCCACCCCTCTGCCATGAAACAAACTAAAATTCGACCTGTCCTGGATGAGGTGCAAGGCCAATCACAACCCGTTTTTTGGTTTTTTTTTAACACACCCAGGGGCATTCAGCCTGCATGAGAATAGTCGCCCTACCTTCTGACTTGATAGATTGGCTCGGTAAACAGTTTCCTAATGAATTTATGGTCCCAAATCTTCTAGTTTCCAGTTCCAGTTCAGTCTTCCATAACAGGCATGATAGTTCCATTTAGTAAAATGATGGTCGCCATTTAGAGTAATAATAGAATGATACAATGCTTTAGGGCGTGGCTACCTTATGATTGACAGGTCATTCTGTGAGTCCGTCCAGCTCAACACATCAAACTCAGATCAAACTGTCAAACTAGGCAGTGCTGATCAAATATGGATCAAGATTCTGTTACTGTGTTGTCTATTTCTCACCTAAAATCTTTTCACAAACATATTTTAGTGTACTGTTTATCTGTAATTTGAGAAAATGTGTGATCATAGATTATCCAATTGCATCTTGAGAAATTTTAGTCTGCACCAGTTAATAATGCTCCTTGGAAATCGGAAATGAACTGAGAGGTTCCAGACTAATTTGCATTTGCGAATTAGTCTGGCGATGCCAGGCTGGATAGTTCTGGTCTCATTAAGATGATCACTAAAGGTTTTGATGCCCCCCATTCGCCAAATCTTTTTTTTTTCTCAAACATGGTATCTCAAAAATGAAAATAACTTTAATAATTTAATCATCCTCAAATGATGAGGATTCTGACAAACTATCAGCCCAGTATCAAAGCCCATTTGATATTAATATTAAATAGACTAAGCTCATTTATGCTCCCAAGAGTCTGAACCCTCTCCCTTGTCAACACTACACACAAGACAGTTTATAATCCTGTTGGCATGAAACTCAGTTAACATTCATTCTTGACCCCTCTGTAGTCTTTTTTTTTAATGAAATCAACAGTGCAGCCTATAGGGACACTAACAGGACTTTCAAGGGCTTTAGACCGGTTATTTATACATTTAGAAGTCTATACTGTGGCCTGATAGCTCACCTGGTAGAGCTGGTGCCGCATGTACCAAGGCCGAGTCCTTGCTGCTGCGGCCATGGGTTCAGGTCTGAACTATGGCCCTTTGTTGCATGTCATCCCTTCTCTCCCACTTTCCAATCTATATTGAGCTGTTCTTTCAATAAAGGTAAACTGGCCCAAAAATATGTTTAACAAAAACAACAAAGGTCTAACTTGTATATTGATTGTCATTGGCCATGTGTTCAATAGTTTTTCTACTCCTGTGTAATAAGAACTATGAATGTACTCATTTCTATCGATGTTTGTGTGTGTTTGTCCAGCTGAAGCAAATGGAAGTCCAGCTCGAAGAAGAGTACGATGAGAAGCAGAAGGTGCTGAAAGAGAAGAGAGAGCTGGAGTCGAAGCTTCTGTCAGCACAGGACAAGGTAACTACTCGCACCTAGAACGGGATCATTTAAAAAACACCTTGCTGTGATTTCTTTCAAATAGTAAAGTCAGAGGTGACTTGGTCACTCCAGAAAAGTTTGAATGTTATTTGGTTTAGACCAAATAGTTAATTTATTCAAAGTTAATCCCTGATATATCAGTTGAGACACCAAACCTCCCTGTACCTGTTACAGGTGAGAAGTGGTGACATTGAGACTGAGAAGCGTTTGAGGAAGGACCTGAAGAGAACCAAGGCTCTGCTGGCTGACGCCCAAATCATGTTGGACCATATAAAGAACAACGCACCCAGCAAGAGGGAGATCGCCCAGCTCAAGAACCAGGTATGGCTATGAACACCATTGCATGTATACTTACTGCAGCAGGTACAAAGAAAAGCTACACTATAAAGTCAATAAAAACAATGAATTGGTAATGTAGGGCAGTCCCAAACCATAAAGAGACTTGTAAACTAGTAACAGAACATTAAAATCAATCCTAAAAGAGCTAACTAAAGTTGGACTGATGTGTTCTCTATTTCTTGTTCTAGATAATTAACTAAGGATTAACTGTAATTTATCAATGGAATGTTTTTGAAGAATAATCTACTTGAAATAAACACATGAATGAGTTTTTCCAGGGATAGGAATGGCCGTACTTATGTGGGATTTCAAATGTGTCCAATATATTTTATTTTTGTTTGTGGACCAACTAATATAATTTCATTTTTTTCACCATGTTATTTAACAACATTGGACTGCATTCACTAGTTTATTGCAGCCAAATTAGTTGTTAAATTGCATAGGCTTGGGTCATTATTAACATTGTCTGTGTGTTGAGATTTGACACAAAGGAATACAATGATTTGCATACAACAGTAACGGATGGGACCCCCACTAGGGGTCGCCAAAGCTTCCCGGGGGGTTGCAAGGACTGCTTGATTTTAAGGGATGTAAGACAACTTTTAAAATATACATACAGTAGGCCTATATCTCAGCATTTGTGTAAAGATTATTTTTAAAGCATATATTATTATTTATGATCTAAACTTTGAAGACCTGAACACAAGCTACATTCATCCTGCATTAGAAAAGTTCAATAACCAACCAACCAAAGAGCTAGTCGAAAGATGGCCAAGCATCAGGGAGAAGGAAACACTGAATTTGTCAAAAGAGAAGCCCATTAAGTATTTAAGATTTAAAAACCCTCATACAGGGCTGCGCATAATGCGGTGTAGCCAGTCAGTCAGGCGTAAGCTGCACGACCCATGTACGGCGTTGCTAGCGCGCGGCCCAGGTTTGAATCCGACCTGCGGCCTTTGCATGCGGTGTCATCCCTATCTCTCTCTGTTTCTCATTTTCTGTATGTCTTTCGGGACTTCACTATCAATAAATGCAACAAGAAGGGCCAAAAAAAGAACTTAAAAAAAAGAAAGAAAACTCATACAAACAGATAAATTGTAGAAAAATGTTTATAGGAATGATCAGAAAAACTCATCTCTAATCAATATCCACTGGAAAAATCTGCTGAAATTCATCAAATCGAGTTTTGGGTTCAATGTACAGTCTATCAGTTGTTCTCTACTGTTATTTGTGCATTGAACTATAATATAAATATCCATAAAATATTTGACTGGCCAGGAGGTTTGTCATCCAGTTTAACTCAATGATAGAAAAGGGCTCTCTTGAGAAAAAGGTTGTGGGAACCAGTGATTTCTAGGAACACACAATAATTATTTTCTCTGAATAAAGCACTATGGGACTGGGTTACCAGAATCAACTGATACTGTGTACAGTGACTGGTACATTTATGACTAACATGAAAAAAGTACATTAGGTATTTAACCCATTAAAGGCACAGTGGCAATTTTATTATTTCTTTATAGCACTCACAGTGCAGCTGAGGCAAAAACACAAATCCATTGAAATGTTAAAAAATCAGTCAAAGCAAAATCTGGTACAGGTTTTTCTTAAGATACTTTTTTTTGTCATTCGTCACAAAGGGTTGGCTTCTTTATTTTCCAGGGAAATTCCTCTAGAACAGGTTGGGGGATTTCAGAGCTTCATCATTTTTGATACACGCTTCTGGACTGTGACCATATGGATTCAAAATGAAAAATATTCATCTGTTGCTTTTTCTTGATCCAGCTATTATCATTGTTCAGACCTTAGATACCATTTTTAATTTAATCAATTTTATTGTATAGCGCCATTCATAACAGAAGTTATCTCAGGACACTTTTTCAAATTAAGCCAGGTCTAGACCGAACTCCTTTTAACATTTACAGAGACCCAACAGTACCACCATGAGCAAAGCACTTAGGCGACTGGGGCAAGGAAAAACTGCCTTTTAACAGGCAGAAAACCTAGGATCAGATCCTTCGGCTCTAGGTGGGTGGTCGTCTGCAGCCAAAATATAGACCAAGTCCTGGGGGCAGGGACTGTTGAGAATGCTGCAGAGGAGCTGAGTCGGATATGAATAATGGTGATATGGATAAATAAGCGGGCACCATAACCTGTTCCTGTTATCAGATGAATGGTGTGAGAGCCAGCGGTCGGGAATCGGAGCATTGGTCCAAACCCAG